ACACAGATCAACTGTCTCAATTGTAATTTACCATTCCAACTCTCGTGTTTGAAGAACCAGTATTTTCCTCCTCCATAGTTAACGAACACCATAATTATAAGAGAGAGCCTGAAAAGACAAGTTAAAAACACACACAAAGTACCACATGTCAATGAAATACATATATATGAACACGAAGTCAGTGTTTACCCCCATTAAAACATTTATAACTACGAGATCTGGTTCATTTTATTTTTAAAGTAAGATGTACAAAGTCTCGAGCTTTGCCAACTAGGAAGCAGCATTTCAGAGATCATGGGTGGTGGTAAACCAAAGTAAGCTCCTTCACACAGCATTTTCATGCTGAACATACGTTGCTCTTTTCCTCCCTCTGGCACAGCTTTAATGTTGCTTTAAACTAGATGAACTGCAAAGTGTTTTGGAAAATCCAAGACTTCAAACCTTGATTATCTTCCAAATAAAACAGGCCCGCTTGAACCATCCCTCTGCTATATATTTCTGTACACTGCTCAACTGCCATTGGAAAGATCTCATTCCTCTTGGAAGAGGTACATCTGAGCAAGGTCTTACGCTCACCCTCGGAACGTGTCCAGGGAACGCAGCCGCTGCCGAGAGGCTGTGCTCCACAAACGCGGGGTGAGATCACTGCTAACGGAGTCTGCTGTGTTCGGGGACCCGAGCTCCTTCAGGAACAAACCAGACACACGAAGGGCAAGTCAGCAGCTGCATCAGCTGAGGTCAAGGAACAGAGGTCAGCAAACATTCACATACGGCCTTTGTCTTTGTTCTCCCCATCTTCCTCATCCTTTTGCTTCCTCACTTGCTACTTCTAACCTGTTTATGGCTCCACCATGTTACAATGATATTTGCAGATGTTCTGCACTCCACCTTCAACCAGGGTGAAAACAACAATGCTCTGAAAAGAGCCTGTGTTTGAGACTCATGAGATCTGGGTCCAGTCCAATTGGCCACAGGCTTGCCATCACTGCGAGTGCTGCTTTACAACAGAGCTGAACAGATCCAGCTGCTGATTCTCAAACAGGATCCATCCAACCAGCACTTGTCTGACAGTACACTGTTCAGAGAGTTAAACCAGCTGAAAATGAATCCTTTTAAATGCTGGAGTGGCTTCTTTACAATCAAGTTCCCTAAATCACTCCGATCAGCCCCAGTGACAGCATAAAGAAGCAGACATTGCTGTAACACAGCTATGGAAATGAACAACTACAAGAATTGCTATGAAGCCAACTCCCAAGTGTTTTGATTCTAGACAGGTTTTGACCTTCTAGAAGTAAAGCCCAGACTGTGATGATCTACCTATATGCTAGTACAAAACACAACTCACAAAGAAATGCCAGCTCTACGGCTGCCAGAGAAATCTTGACTAGCATAGATCCTGCTAGAATTCCTACTGTGCTGGAAGCAGACATGAAGGCTGTCATTTCTTCCCTTCCGTCACACTGACTGTGTCAGAAGGTAACATGTTTGCTTCAAGGGAACTAGAGAGGGCACAAAGCTGTATGTCCAAGACTTTCAATAGCTCCACTGGGAAGCCACTGAACTTGTGTGGAAACCCAGCCTAGCACTCTCCATTGACATAAAATTGCCTGTCTGACATCAATACAAGATTTGCCAAGGGAAACATGCTCAAAGAAGAACATGATTAGTAATAAACAAGCCTGGATATGCAGATAGCATATGTTCCTTAAGAGATGAAAACACTACAGGATGCAGATTAAAGATACTGCGGTCACTCACTCACAGAATTAATCAGACGATCAGTTTCTCTGGGGTTCAGTTTCTTGTAAACCCAGTTCCTGACTGCATGAATTCTGGAAATTAGAAGCAGTTTAAAACACAAAACAAGACAAGTACTTTATAGCCCAGTTCATCTTAACATCAACTATAAATCAAAAGTTGGGACAGTCCCTATCTCTGTTTTCCCAGCTCCTACACACAGTACTGAAGTTCAGCCAGCACCTGGATCTCAGTGAAGTTCAGCTGTGTAGTAACACTGCCACAAGCTTGGGTTCCGGGGGCATTATCCTCAGGTTGTTTGCAGGCAGGGAGGACTCACATCACTCAGTACACAGGATGGAAGGCTGCACATGCTACACACACTCATGTCCTGCTGCCTTGTACTGCTGATAGAGGGCTAAAGACCCAGGCACAAGTCACAGGAGCATGAGGCAGGGTCTGCAGTAACCGCTCTACATACAAGCTCACAAGGCTGCAAGGTATGCCCCAAGGGAAATCACATCTCTCTATTCATTGTCACATGGACAGCTACCACAGCTTACCTTGTACATGGCAACCAGGTAACAGGGCTGCGGGACTCCAAAGCACTAGCACACCATGACATGTGTTTTTAAACTGGTGGCCCCTACTTCAAATGCAAGGAACCACTACAGTACTGTTATACTTACTTCATCAAAAGGCGCCCGACAATCAGGATAGTGAGGGTCCCCATGTAAACCAGGAAAGCAAAGAGAATAGCTGCATGAAAGAGAAAAAAACACAAGTCTATAAATGACCGAACAAAACCATTCAGTAATCCAGCCCTGGCCAAGCATGACACAAACATGACAAAAAGCCCAACCCTCCAAGCATCATACCACCTTCTCCATGCAACACATATCCCCAGCCCAAGTCCCAGAGAAACAAACAAACACAACAAAACCCCAAAACAACCTCAACCAAAAGCAGGTTAGTTTTGAAGTGCAGCTACATGACTACATATCTCAGCATAAAAAAAAAAGGCAAAGTAAAACTGCACTGCACCACAAGGCAATCAGGAGAAAAGAGCTGATGTGCTATACATTCTGAAGAAGAAACTGAAGAACTGGAAACAGCCTCAACATGAAAAGGAAGACATGGGAGAAGGTAATACCCCAAATTTGCAAGCATGGAAAATTTCTCTTTACAGCTGGAAAACTGGAAGGACTGAAGAGTAATCTATATATGAAGAATATATATATGAAGACTAATGTAAAGGAAAAGAATGGAAGACATGTAGGTGAGAGTTCGAAACAGCCCTGGAAAAAGAGATGAACAAAGACGCAAGACGTGACGCTTAAAATTAAAAGCACAGCAGCAAACAAAAATCCAAGCACTGCATGAATTGTTTCCCATTTTGTGAGGGAAGACAGAAGAAGAGGAAGGATTGTGTGTACATACATAAACATGCAGGAAAACAGGAACTAACTACAAAAATGCCTCCCTCCAGACACATACACACTGATTTTTCTGGGCTAATCCCTGCTGCAAAAAGGCTGTGGTTGTACAGTAATGTTATGTGAAGAGGCCCGATTCTAGCCAGGGCCTCAAGGTGGGTGTATAAAACATAAGGAGATAAGATGCTGAGAGAGAAGAGAGGCAAGCCCATAACACATCTTCAGCAGAGCACAAGTAGCTGTACAGGCTTTGTAAGGAAGGTGGTTTCGCTGGGAAACATGCAAGTTGTTGGAAGGAAGGGGAAAACAGAGGATTACATACGGAGATAGCTGTTGACAGGGCCTTCATTGATGACTAGGTCACAAGACACAGTTTTGGTGCTTGTACTTAGGGTCTTTACCACAAGGGAATAATTGCCAAACTCTCCAAAATGATACTGAATCCTGCAAAGGATAAAGGAAAGGGAACTTGCTGAGCCATCACTGCTACGTGCAGGTATCACAGCAGCATCCCGGGGCCTACAAACCTGGATGCTTGTACGAAAGGCAAGCCAAAAACTTGGCCTAACAGTGTGATCTACCAAGGAGCTGCCTGGCTCTGCTTTGCCATCACTGTCTCTTGCCCAACACAGATGGATTACCACACATGTACTGCCTACTACATCACCTGTCTTCGTGAGCCACACTCTCTGCAAGAGAAACCAGGCATGGGCACATGCTGTCTCCACACTCACCACTTCAGCTCCTGCTGGTGCTTACATCTTTTCAGCACAATTGCAATGTGTGCCACAATTACAGCAGCAGGGGGAAGACTGCACTCTAAACAGGGCTCCAAGGGAAAGAAAACCAAACACAAACCCAAAAAGCTAACAATACACAAACCCCAAACAGGACAGAGCTATCCAGATGTTCCCTGGGGCTGTGCCACGTACTTGCAGAGCTCCGTGTCACTCACAGAGCCGTTGAGCTGCAGCGTGAGGGGATGCTGGGTATCCACCACTACCTCCGCCGTGCCCGGCTTTCTCAGGCTCCCGTTGCTCGGTGGCAGGAACGCCAGGAACTGATACAGGCACTGTGGGAGAGGAGCGCGAAGTGACCGCATCAGTGCCACAGGGGGGTGAAAGCGGGTCTGTTCGCATAGCGGCCAACACACGGGAAGATGCCGGGGGCTGACTGGAGCCGCTCCCGCCGCACCGAAGCAACCCCACGACGCCACGGGGAGCCGCCGGGAGCGCAGAGCGGCCCCGCCGAGGCCCGGGGCAGGGGTGTCCGAGGCAGGGCGCGGGGGTGACACACACACACACACACGGCTCCCGCCGCTCACCTGGTGGCAGGAGCCGGAGCGGGCGGCGAGGAGGAGGCCCTGCGTGGGCAGCTCGTTGCGGACGAGCAGCACGGCCTGGTCCATCCGCCCCGGGGGGCGCCGCTCCACCTCCCCGGGCCCGCTCCCCTCCGACGGGCCCCCGCTATGCGGCTGCGTGAGGCCAGGCGCCATCAGCAGCGCGCCCAGCGCCGCCGCTACCGCCGCCGCCAGCCCGGCTGCCGCCGCCATGTCGCTGCGCTCCGCCCTGGGGCGGTGCCGCCGCCGCCGCCGCCACCGCCGCCCTGTGCGGCCGGGAAGCGCGCTCGGTGCTGCCCCCTCCCCGGGGGTGCCGTGCTTTCCGGGGTCAGCGGCCCTGCCCGGGGCGGCCCAGCCCGGGCCATCCCGCTCAGGTAATCGAGAGGATGAGCAGCGAGGCGAGCGCCGAGCTTGAACCGCTTTTAGCGTAGGGCGCTGCCACGCGTGGCCTTCTCTGTAGGCTGGAGGCTCAGGGCTGCAGTGACACAGCCCCCGCGGCGCTCACCCCCGGGCTGGGAAGAGGGTCCCGCTCAGCCTCCGTCTGCCGCGGAGGATGCGGAAGGCACGGCCATGGAAAAGAAACCACACTTTGTTAGGAGGGAGTTTCTTCCCAGGGAGGTATCCTCCATCTCATTGGTGTTATTGCTTGTGGCTGTCCTGCTCCTTAATGCCCTTCTCTACCTGTACCTCAACGAGTTTTACAGCTCTAAGGAACGTGGCGAAACAGACCCCAGCCTCTGCCCTTTTGGGTACTTCAAACTGGGAACGGTGAAGAATTGTTCCCCGTGGCTCTCCTGTGAAGCCATAAATAGGGAAGTCAGGAAGCTGAAATGTGTTGGTGAAGGCGCTGTGAAAAAGGTGAGTTTGGTTTTCCTTTCTTCTGTCCTGTGGATGAAGAGCATTCGCTGTTTGCTGGCTAATAAGTATCCTCACAACAGCTCATTATTGTAGACATATGGCTACCAATAAGGTGCAAAGAACACACAGGAGAGCGTGACCAGGTCCACCTCCCTGCCAGTGAACGACATCCAGCTACACAAGCAAAATCACAGAGATGGGATGAGTGTGGTGCAGTTATGGCAGAGTAAGACTGGCTGGTTGGGGTGTGAAATAATTTAATTCATCTGCATTGCCCATTCCAAAGACAGCTTAGGAAGCCGTGATGTAATTATGACATCTGTCAGTACGGGCTTGTGGTGACAGGTACACGGCCTTACCTAAAGGCTTGACTGTGACTGGTGGTTGGTTTGAGGTTGTGACTAAGCAAGTCACTCAAAGGCCAACTGGTGGAAGAAGGCTCTCCACATCTTATGTGTCTCTTGTTTGTTCTCAGGTTTTCCTCTCGGAGTGGAAGGAAAACAAAGTGGTCCTTTCACAGCTCACCAACCCAGAGCTGAAGGAGGACTTTCTCCACGGACTGAAGATGCTGAAAGCACTTCAGAGCAAGCACGTCGTACGGCTGCTTGGCTACTGTGAGCAGCAGTTCACAATCCTCACCGAGTACCATCCTCTAGGGTCTCTGAGGGGCCTGAATGAAACTCTTCACATCCCCAGGTACAAGGGGATGAACACCTGGCATCGCAGGCTGATGCTGGCTATAGACTATGTGAGCATCATTCGGTATCTGCACAGTAGCCCTCTGGGCACCTTAGTGATGTGTGACTCAAATGACCTGGACAAGGTCCTGTCTCAGTATCTCCTAACAAGTGACTTTCATGTCCTGGTGAATGATTTGGATGCTTTGCCTCTTGTGAACAGGAGTGCTGGCAGGCTGGTGAAGTGCGGTCATCGGGAGCTCCAGGGCGAGTTTGTAGCTCCTGAGCAGCATTGGCCTTATGGAGAAGAGGTGCCATTTCAGGATGACCTCATGCCACCCTACGATGAGAAAACAGACATCTGGAAAATCCCAGATGTCTCCAATTTCTTCTTGGGCCATGTTGAAGGAAGTGACATTGTGAGACTGCATTTGTTTGACATCCATGCAGCATGTAAGAAGAAGGACCCAGCTGAAAGGCCTTCTGCCCAAGAAGTCTTAGACACCTACAGGAAGGTTTTAACTCTGCTTATTCGGGAGACAGCCATGCCTGGTACTAGAGAAATGTTATAGTGAATCATGAGACAAACAACATACTGAAGTTGATGTCCTTCCTATTTATGTAGCTTGCCTGAAGGGCAAAATCTCTGTCCCTAAAACTAAAAAGAAAAGAACAACTGAACTTGTACCTCCTGATTAAAAAAATAATAAATCCAGGCAATGCTGGAGCTCTGTAAGCCTCCCATTGGTCTGTTTATCACTGGAAGAGGAGGGAGAAAATTGAAGTTTTGTGGGTGTGTGGGGAAGTTTCTTTCTTAAGAAATAATAAATTTTCTTTAGCAACATTTACACAAAAACTCTTTAACAAAAATACGGGAAAAGAGTTAAAAAAAGTACTACTCCACTTAAACTGCTTGGCAGAGAAGTGGAGAGCAGAGACCATGGCACACCCCACACAAGCCTTGTGCTGATTCCTGTGGCTTTGGCCTATGTCTTTACCCTTAAAGCACTCACTCACTTCCACATGGAGTAAAAGCAGTGATCACTCAGATGAGGGTACCCGAGTTCACTTCAGATTTTGGTGAACCCTGATGCCAGAGCCTCAGCAGCAGTCTCTCCCTGCTGGATAGGGAATAGGTTGGGTTTTGGAGCTGTACTGCCATCGCTCTGTGGGCCCCGTATCCCACACCAGCAAGCATGTGGCCACTTTGTAAGCCAGCAGATGATGCAGATCCTGAATGGACTGCTTACAGACGTGTGCTCTTGGTTTTCAAGCCTTTGCCCTGTAATATTCTCAGATGGGCTCTTTGGAGATGAAGCTGTAAAACACAGCTTTAATCCACAGAAATCCTGAGCACTTTGGAAGAGAGATGAAGCATATCTTTTTTTTCATTCACTTCTTTGCTGAGTGGCATCACGACTTGATCAAAGGGAGGAAGAACAAGGAACTGAAAGAGAACATGACTTCCTGCTAGAGCAATGAGCATTAAACATGAGCTTTGGAAAAGACCTATATCCAGAGTATACAACTATTGAGTCTGAAGTGAAAGCCTATTAAGCACAGCAAAAGGCTGCTTCAGTGTATTTAGGAGAAAGCTTTTGATACCTACATGGATGTCACAGCCTGGTACCAACAGCTGGAGAGGAAGAATAACAGTGCCTTAACCCAGCAGTAGGCTCTGTTTGGTGGGACTGGGATATATTTGTTTCTTTGGTGAAAAACACAGTACTATTAAATGAGAGATGTAGACTCCTAAAATTACATACCTGCGGACTTTCTGTTCTGCAGACTAGGCATCTGAAAGACCTAAGGGCTTGAGACAATGTTCATGTTTTGACTTGAGAGGTAATTTGTAAGCAGAGAAGTACATGATACTTTCCGCTGGAGAGTTTGACTGTGTTCTTTGCTGTGCTGGTGTTTCTTTTCACCTAAACAAGCTGTGTTAAGACTGCACTGAGAACATGCAGTTTGAATACATAATGTTCAAATGCTGCTACCAAAATTTTATTGTAAATGGGATAACTTTCCTGAAAATGGCTAAATTCATACCTGATTTCATACAATGCCAGGAGGAGCCCTTTAAAAGCTGCTCATTATGGTTTAGTTTTCCCCCTGGGCAGTCTATTTTCGATGGCAGTGTTCAAGGCCAGGTTGGACATGGCTTTGAGCAACCTGTTCTAGTGGAAGGTGTCCATGCCATGGCAGGGGGGGGATGGAACCAGATGACCTTTAAGATCCCTTCCAACCCAAACCAGTCTGTGATTTTATGACGGACAAGAACTTACCAAGCTTCTTATGCTGATCTCTCTCAGTTAAGACAAGAGTCTGCTTGGATTCTTGCTCCATTGTGTACTGTTGCACCTTGCAAACAGCCATATTAATTTCAGAGTGAAAAACAAATGAGGACAAATTCTGACCTGAATAATTTTCTTTCCGTGGAGCTCTCTCTCTCTGTTTATGGATGAAATAGTTACAATTATTTAAAAGAAAAGGGATCTTCCAAAGCATTCACCCTGAGCACTGCGTCCTTCACATGTCTCTTCCCCATTCCCTCTTCTTCAGCTCATATGTTGTCCAGCGGTTTATTTCATTATTACATTTTATAATGTAACTTATTCAGGAATAGGTTACATTTGTTCTGAATACAGCATCATGAAGTTTCACAGCTTCTTTTCTGGGACGTTGTTTCTGTCTATGAGGAAACACTAGATGGCAGCATGAAGGTCAGCCTACCATTAGTTATTGGCAGTTGCGGACTCCCGTGCCCAAACATAGCCGGCATCTGCCCTTGGAGACAGTAATTTGCTAGCAAACTTCCTTAACTCCCTAAAAGACCTCATTGTGTTTGCATTAGTGAGTCTGTAGTAACAATACAGATAAATATATAAGAGCTGTCAGAAGAGCCACACATGAAAGCTGAAAGGGCTACCTCCCCTTTAACTTGCTCATATTTTGTGTACTTTACCATCCCTTTAATCAAAACCTGGTACAACCTCAGTCAAGTTTGAGTGTCATCTGCTTTCAGGTTTTTCAATAAAATCAGAGGAATTTGTGTCCTCTTCATCTTTCTGCCCTTCCCCACTAACCCCTTCCCCAATTCAAGATTACATGAATCCCATCCTTCCTACATTTCCAGCTTCTTTTCCCTTAAAGGGAAAAGGCGAGGCCTCATGGAGAGGGAAAAAGAGGCAGGACAGCCCTATATGCAGTTGCTTCTCCTCTTTCCTGTTGCCTCTCCTGGGCATTACAGTTTTCACCACTGACAGCCTTGGATAAATATTTAGGGGCTTTGCTACCTCAGCAGAAGCAGCTTTTACATGCCTGGTGGAAAACATGACAGGATGCAGAGCAGGAAGAGGCCTGTTCTCAGCTGGAAGCCTGAAATCCTCTCCTTATCCACTCCCCAGCCAGCTTCAGACAGGTGGCCATGACCTTCCCTGCCAAGGCCACTGCCATAGCTCTGCCTAACCACAATATCAGCCGCTGGTTCTCATCTCAAGCACAAATGAAGGGCCCCACACTCCTGGGATAGTTCTTGACAAGTTTCCTATCGTATCCCTGTTTCTCCATCCCAAAAGTCCAGCCAAAGAAGCCGCACAAAGACAGAGGCCACACAAGGAGAAGGACTAGTTTATGAAATTTAGCCCTTACCAGGTAGGTTTGTGCCACCGCATACAGAATGGAAACAGCCTGTCTCAGAGAACAGTCCCAGATTTAGTTCAAACCCACTGCTCCTTTCTTTTTCTGAGTTATCCAAAAGATAGCACCGTCATAGTTATACTGTTTTCCTATCCAAACTGCCTGCTGGCTGCACACTTTTAGGTGGATCAAGTCTGATGTAGGTGTTTCCTTTTGCGTGCAGTGGGTTTCAGATTACATCCTAAAAGCACTCCTGTAATGCTAAATCCTATACAGGTGAGTAGCCTTTATGGCAACACATATGATGGTTCAACACCATCAGAGAAAAGAAGTATTGCATGCGTATCCACACCAGCTGCTCTGTAGGTGGGGGTAAGTGCTGAGGAAATAAAATGGACTATTCACTTTAATAGTTGTTTGATTGTTTTTAGATTGTTTCTTTTTGGAAGGATATGTTTAAAGACTGTGTTACTGTGTATTTAATAGAGTGGTACCTATTAAGTCTATCAGCAATTTGGAACACCACACGAAGTTTCTGAAATCCTATCACAAGCTCTAAACCAAATATTTCCCATTGGTGCCACATAAACAAAACATCGGGTCATTATCTTTGCGAAACAGTGGCAATGCTGTTTGCCAGATATAATTTGTGAGATATTTGGCAGAATTTGCAACTGTAAACTGATTCTATCATTATGACTATAATGTCTTACAAACAGTCAAGAGACCCTGGGAACAAGAAAATGTGGTTCTTGAGTTCTTCTAGCATGATATAATGTATGTATTTGTAGAGTTCATCCAAGTTAATTATATGGTAGATGGTACTTTTAAAAAAGAAAAAGGATATTATGGTTTTATTTTAATTGGAATACTGTATACTTGAGATGACCACATGAATTCCAATAATTGTCAGTCTGTGTTCTGAAGCCTACAATCCAGTATTTATCAGGATTAAATTGTGAATATATTTACAGTACAGAGATATTTATGTCTCAGCAATTTCTGATTCTGTTTAGCTCTTTGTAACTCAAAATCCATTAAAAATTACATATTTATATATAGAAGCACACATGTATTCTTTGGCCATAATTTTCAGAAAAACGAGCTTACTGTTAGATTCCAGCATTCACATTTTGGATGTGAAGCAACTGGATTTTCAAAACTGGTAATAGCAGCTTTCAGTCAAATTTATAGTAGTTGCTGGATGCTAAGGACTTTTAGAGAGGGAATTATTTCCTTGTAGAGTTGGAAGATCTTTTTCAGCAATTCTCGTGATAAATCTGTGGGACCGAAGTGGGTGCTTTTATCAAGTACATGCTAGATTTCTTTCTGGAATGAGCAAAGTATCCACTTTTGCAAAAAGCTGTTATTTTTTTTTAATAATTATTATTAAATCACAGAATTTTTCTCCCCAAGAGCTGGTTCCTGTGAGGGGTGGTGTCTGACTCACAGCTGAAACACCCCAGGCTTATTTGCTACTGTGTGATGTTGAAAATCCAGCTACTAAGCTTGGGTCTTCATTGGCTATGTTTAGCTTACAGCAATGCCATATACTGTTGTTGTGTATTATTTGTTTGGTGCCTACACGCTTAGGTCACAGGCCAGGATCCTGGAGGTCAGATCCTATAGAGGCCCAGCAGAAAATGACAGTTGTTTCCCTACAAGCAATTTTAGTACAAGAAAATAGAAAACAACTGGTGTCCTCATGCATCAACAGCATACACAAGCATTGACTATCCCATCCCACCTCATACAAGCTACAATAAATATGCTACATGATCTAAATGGGCAGGTCATGCCACTTCTTGTGCATGTAACAGCAACTGCAAGGTCTGACCATATTCAACAGCAGCTTGCATTCAAATTCTTGAAGGTGTTTCAGGAGCCCAAGACTGAAACAAAAGCCCAAGCTATAAAAGGCAACAACAGTGTACCAACATAAGCTAACCTAGGCTTAAGAGTCAAATAACTTTGGTGTTTGAACCAGATTCCTCAGGGAAGTGAGGCAGAAGGCCTGAACTACAGAACTCTTACTGCAACAGGCCAGCAAGGGGTAGATCACCCCTTTTTCTCAGGTTTGCAAGGCTGTCATACTCACTGCAGCACCAGATATTGTGGTCCTCAATCTAACCCTGTCCTACCCACGGCTTCACATCTGCTGCATTCAGAGTGGTATGTGAGGGAAGAAAATCTCTCTCTGCCTGTCTTCTAGGTTGGGGGCGGATGGATTATCTGGGCCTTAAATCAAGCATTTAACTAAATCAAACAGATCAGGCACTTGCTGAGTGAAGCATGGTCTGTTCCCATGTGTGGAAGCTGCAGAGAAAATCCCAAGACCCAAAGTTACGCTTTCTGAATGCAGGCCTTTGTTTCCTCCACATGGGAAGCTGGGTGCAGTGTTCTGGAGCATTCCAGCATCTTCCTGGGTTGTCCAGAGCAGAGCTGCAGGGTTAATAAAAAAAGAGCCATTAGCTTAAATACAGCTTCTTTACACTCCATACAAGGGAACCTGAGCTCAAGTGAGATCTAGAGGTAATAGTGAAATATGAAGAGCACCCAAGTTACTTATGTTACTTATTCTTTCCACTTTTTGGCCAGAAATGTGTAATGCTCTCTTGTCAGGACTGTTAGCAGGAAAGTTCAACATACTAAAAACCAAACAAAAAGCCTCAGCTTCACAAGAACTGTTTGAAATCCCTGAGAAACCACATTTAATTAACTGTCTTGTGTCATGTTGCGTAACTGATAGACTCTCTTACTATTTTTCCACCCCCTTTTAGTGGTTTCCACAGTTCTGTGCATGGGTGCCATCCCCATTTAATGACCTAGAATTATGTCTAATTGCTATTCTACTCTTATTTCCCACACCATGTGGGGCAGAGAACTTTTCTCATAACAGTGCTTTTTAATTTTTTTATATTGTTTTCACTCATACCCTTTTATGCCCTGATCTGCGGCCTCTGAAAATGAATTTGTTCCATAGCATGGAAAGAGAATGACTTGGCACATCTTGCAGTGAGAAAATGGCTCTCCAAAGGACAGAGTTTCGCTGGGCTGGTTGATCATTTGCAAAGCGAGTGCTATCCAAGCAAGGTGTCCAGACTCCCTCCGCTCAGTAAGGGGTCAGCACTTCCTGGAAGTGCACAGGGAGGCTCATTCTGAATGTTTGATGTAGGCTAGATAAATCATGCCCTAAAAATACTTGCTTTTTCCCCCTATTGTCTTACAAAAGGTGAAGATAAATAATTACAATATAAGCACATGCAAAAAGCAAAGGGAGATGAACCATATCCACAATGTCTACATTGTAATAGTTCTAAGTGTCGGAAAGAAGATACGGTAAAAGGAAGTGTCAGGGCCGGAGGGGAATAGAAAGAAGCAGGAGTGTAGCTCAAACATGCCCCACAAGGCAGTACGAAAATACCAGTGTGTGTGTTAGAACATCCCCATCCTAGTTAATCTGCACTGAGTTCACGTGCAGTTCTGACATCTTTTCAAGTTTCTAAACTGAAATACTTACTTTGCCCCACCTTTTCTGCCAAAGCATAATCCTAGAATTGTGCTTTTTGGCATCAGAAGCCATACGGAGCACAGGAGTAAGATGTGTTGCTGCAGGATCTGAATATCCAGCAACCCCCATTTTGGAACACACAAACACACAAAAAAGGAGGCAAGATTTTTGAGAAAGCACGGCTTTTATTTTGCAACCTAAACTGTCAAATTTAGTTGCTGTGTGAAAATCAAAAGCTTGTGACAATCTGAACTTCTTTTTCTCTTGCTACCACACACCACTGAGCTACACAGAATCACAGAATCATAGAACCAACTCGGTTGGTAAAGACCTTTAAGGTCATCAAGTCCCACCACTACACCAGCACTGCCAAGTCCATCGCTAAACCATGTCATTGAGGGCCTCATCTATGTTGTTTTTGAACACTTCCAGGGATGGTGATTCCACCACTGGCCTGGGCAGCCTGTTCCAATACCTGAACAACCTTCTGGTGAAAAAGCTTTTCCTAATACCCAATATAAACCTCCCCTGGCACATCTTGAGGCTGTTACCTCTTGTCCTATCGTTTGTTACTTGGGAGAAGAGACCAACCCCCACCTCACTACAACATCCTTTCAGGTAGTTGTAAAGAGCAATAAGGTCCCTCCTGAGCCTTCTCTTCTCCAGACTGAGCAACCCCAGTTCCCTCAGCTGTTTCTCAGACCTGTGCTCCAGACCCTTCACCAGCTTCCTTGCCCTTTTTAGGTCCCACACGATTCCACTGCTACAAAGTGGGTGAAGAGGCAGTTGCCAGCACGCCTGCCAGACTTCCAGTGCTGCTGTATTCACACCTCCATCCACCCCCAGACTGCCTTTCACCTCAGACGCTGACACCGTGAAAGAACGAAGACTGTTCGGTCCCCTGGGAGAGAAACAGTCACCTACTTGCGTCCTGCCCCCAGGGACCGATAACTAAAAGGGGAAACAGTGGGGGGGGAGCTCCGTGGGGACCCTCACACTGCTCCTCAGGACCACCCCGCTACGCTGCACCTCACACCCGCCCCGCCTGCTCTCCATGACGTCACTTCCCGCCGCCGCGGCGCGCCCGCCCCTAACGGCCGGTGTACCCCATGGCGGTGGCGGCCGCCGGGGCAGGCGGCGGGTCGGCTGCGCTGGGCGATAGCGACAGCATCGACTACTCGGTGCACGAAGCGTGGAACGAGGCCACCAACGTCTACCTGCTGGTGGTGCTGGCCAGCCTCGCACTCCTCGTCTACGCGCGACGGTGAGCGCAGGCCGGGGAGGGAAATGGGGGAGAGGCGGAGCGAGGGCTCCTGCCGGGAAGCGGCAGCGCCGGGCCGTGCTTCTCACCGCCTTGTGCCCCTTCTCCCGCAGGAACAAGAGGAGGATCATGCGCATCTTCACCCTGCCCCCAGCCGCCGAGACGCCGCCCGAGCCCAACTTCTACGACAGCATGAAGAAGATACGGCTGCGGCAACAGCTGGAGATGTACTCCATCGGTAAGTGGAGGAAGGGAAGAGGGGGCTCACCCCCTCCCCGGCTGGCCTCGGCCTGCCGGCCCTCGTGCGGTGCGGACACCCCGGCCCTGTGGCACCACGTGAGCAGGGATTGAGGCATGAGGAAGCATGGAGTGAGGGAGGGAGCAGCCAGGCGATGCCCTTCTGGCTGTCAAAGTAAGGCCGATGTTGAAGGTAAAAAGAGCTGGGAATGCCCAAATATTGCCAAAACGTGGATGGATTTGTAACAGTTGACAGGACTGTGGAATCACAAGTAATTCAACTTTGTAAATCAAAAATAAATGAGAATTTTACTGTACTGACAAGTGTTGTCACTCCCATCTTAACACTGAAGGTCAGGATGGGAGTAGGAAAGAGCCCCATGCCTCTGATACTCTGAGGTCCAATTCAGAGTACACCTGTACTTGCTCTGCATCTGCCATACATGCATGCCTACAGGGAGTATGGGCAAGAAATAATGAGTTGAAAACCACCTTCTAAATGCAAAGACTAAATGCAAAGGTTCTTAAACCAGGCCATTGGATTTTGTAGAAACAGAAAACAAGGCCAGGCTGGATGGGGCTTTGAGCAACCTAGTCTAGTGGAAGGTGTCCCAGCCCATGGCAGGGGGTGGAACTGGATGAGCTTCAAGGTCCCTTCCAACCTAAACCATTCTATGATTCAATGAAAAAAGGATGTCCTTTCTACAGAAGAATGCCTGCTGATGTGGTGTTTGTTCCACCACACAACTCTTTGATCTGCCTTTGCCTTGCTAACCAGAGTAATTTTGGAGTCAATGTAGTTGTTAGCTTGTGGCTTATGTATTGTGGAGGAGACGACTGATGTGGGGATTAACTGTATGACTAATAAGTCATTCAGGTCATCTGTAATAGTACTTATGAAGGCATAGTCTTTAATTTTTATTTTTATTTCTTTTTTAAATGAAAAGACCTAAATGGAATATAGTTCTCTGCAATTAATTTAGTGATGTTTTGCGATGACCCTACCACTGAGCCTTTCCAAGGCCATACACGAAAGGCCTAGTTCCACCCAGTGACTGAAACTTTGCCTTGTGTGGCTAAATGGTGAAATTACATTGTCTAATCTTAAGACTACTTCTTGATTGTTATCCTGTTTAGATGCATATATATATAGGTATGCATACATGCACACACACGTATACAATAAATGGTATAATCAGTGTTGACCAGTGTTTCTTTTTTCCAGCAAGGAAGTATGAACAGCAACAGCAGCAGCCACCAAAGCAGACTGAAAGCATACAGCTCTCAGTGGAGTGAAGCCCACAATTGTAGAAACTCAGGAGATATTTCCAGTGCTGATGATAAGAGCCAGTATGGAGCTATTTCCAATGCCTTTTAGTTGGTGCAGAGCTGAAGGCAAGGGGGAAGGGGACTTTCCTAAAAGGTTTGCTCTGTGTAGCTTTTCTCTGAGCCCCGTGAAGCAAACTGAGGGCTACTGAAACAGCATGAAAGCACCCAGTGCAGGGCAGACCTGCTCAGAGAAACCTTTGAGGGTACAGAAGTGCAGTGTTACACATGTTTTAAATCATTTCTGTCTGCTGGCATCTTGGAAATTAGCTCCTGCCTTCTCTGGTAACGGCATCCTAGAGAAAGCAAGGCAGTACCTGTCTGCCTGCAAACTCTTCTGTTCAATTCAGTGTTGAATTTGCTGAATGCATTCAGTGAATGTGAATGAAGACACTGTGGCCTTACTGCCTGGTGAAGGGGAACAGCGTTGGGAGCCAGGAGTGTCATAGGTGGCAGCACAGAGAGGTTCTGCTCTGTGTTTATATGGGGGGTGTGTATGCAAGGCTGTGAAGCTTTCCTGGAGGAGCTTTGGGACTGTGAAGTACACAGTGAATTGCATGTCTGGAAAACATTGAAAGCCAATATGATACTGTTAATAGCAAAGGTGGTTAGCTTAATTTAGTTCCATTGCTCTGAAGAATGGGATTGCCTATAGAAATCTGCATAAAGGTGGCAGCTTAAAAGACATCACACCCCTGTTACTTTTATTTTCTAGGTAAATAACAGAATCGATTAATTTAAAGAATGCTGCAGAAATTACTTCTTAATAAAAGCATCTAATCATAAAAACTACTCGAGGATGTATCATGTTGTAAATCCCAACCAAGTGATTGGCCAAGTAGTGAACAGAATACTAATGAACAGCGTAAAGAGAAGTGAGCGTATGACCAGGAAGCGCTTTTTTTTCCTATTCGCTTCTAAATTCAGCCTCGGAGCAGTGGTAAGCAGCACTGCAGTTCCATCCGGGCATGAGGAAACCTGGCTTTGTTCACCAAAGGGTGTTTATAAGATGGCAGTGATCCATGGGCTGGCGCCCGTGGGGACAGCAGCGCGGTGACTGCGCCGTGGCAGGGGTCGGTTGGGCGGCTTTACCCCGGGGAAAAGGCCCCCTCGGGTGATATCTGCCGCCCGCTCCGCGCAGGCGGGCCCTTTAGGTAGCTTCCCCTCTGCAGCCGAGGGAATTAGCGGCGGTGTTGGCGGTAGGCAGCGCTGCCGCCATGCCGCGAAGGGGCAGATTATGCCCGCGGAGCCCGTCCCTTCCCACATTACTCCGGCCGCTCGAAGGCCTGGCTCCGCGCCGGCTCCCCGCTACTTCGAGTCGCAAAAGCCCAACTCCTGTGGGACCCCCGTCCCATTCCCTGTCCGGCCTCCGGAAGCAGCGCTCTGCCCCCTCTCGGCGACCTCACTTCCTGCCACCGCTTCCGCCTCCGGGCCGTGCCGGCTGCTGTTACCGCTGCCGCCGCCGCTGCCACCGCCGCTGTTCTGCTCCTGCTGCTGCTCGGAGGGCGCCCGCCGGGCGGTGAGTGGGGCCGCGGCGGAGCACGCGCGCGGGGGCGCCCCGCCCCGTCGGCGAGGAGAGGAGCGCGTGGCGGGAGGGGGGCGCACCTCGGGGCGGGAAGGGGCCTCCTGAGGAGAAAGGGAGGGAGAAGAGAGGAGGGGGGCCCGGGGGCAGGCTGCGGCCGCTGGGCCGCGTGGGCTTCCCCCTCTGTCCCCCGCGGGACGGCTCTCCGCGGGCTCCCTCCGCCCGGCCTCACCCCGCTGCTGCCGCAGCGTGGGCTTGGCGCCGGGAGCGGGCTCTGCCGTCCTTCAGCTCGGCAACGCCGAGCGAGCGGCGAGCGGGGAGCCGGCAGCGCGGCAAAGCTCCTCAGCCTCGTGGCGCGCCTTTTGTAGCACTCGCCGGGCCGCTGCCCACAGCAGCCAGCTCCACATAGCCCAGTAAAGTTGCGTGTCAGAACGAGCCCCTTCTTTCCAGCTTAATAAACCCACCCGTCTGTCTGCCCGTAGTGATTCTGTAATTTATACATGATACAATGGCTTGGGTTGGAAGGAACCTTAAAGATCATCTGGTTCCATCCAGCTGCCGCGGCAGGGACACTTTCCATTCCACTAGAGCAGGTTGCTCAAAGCCCCGTCCAACCTGGCCGTGAACACTGCCAGGGATGGGGCAGTCACAGCTGTGCCAGTGCCTCACCACCCTCACAGTAAAGAACTTCTTCCAAATACCTAATCTAAATCTCTCTGTCAGCTTAAAACCATTCTCCCTTGTCTTCTCACTACATGCCCTTTTAAAAAGTCCATCTCCAGCTGTGCTGTAAGCACCCTTAGGTACTGGAAGCTGCTTCAAGGTCTCCCCGGAGCCTTCTCGTGTGCAGACTGAACAAGCCCAACTCTCCCAGCCTGTCTTCATATAGGAGAGGTCTTCCTAAAATTGTGACTTTACAGTTTTCCCTTTAGGTGAGCTGAAGCGCTTAGAAATCTTGAGTGACTTGCAGCTCTGCTTGTGTTCATGGACCTGAAGTAGTGGCACAAGTATCTCACAGACTTGGTGAAGGCAATGTGTTTTTAAGGATAAGCAACAAAAGCTTTTCCCAGGCCTGCACCTTCTTTATATGTTAGATCATTAGGAGAATGCTGCTTGGGTCATGAGTGAAGGACAGGTTATGTTGTGTTTTCCTGACTTATGTGCAGCTATTGAAGTTATATCCCAGCAAAACTATACCCTGCTTTGTTGGAGGTTTTTATATTTCACTTTTACAGTACAAGTATGCTTTGGAACAGAAAGTGCAGTCAGCTTTTGAGATTGTACCTTAAATTTCTGCAGTGATTTTTAACAGTTAACTCGTGATATTGCACTTAGAAAAAAAAAAAAGCTTTCTTCAGCTGGTAGTAAAAAATAGGTGCCTAAAAGCATAGAGTAGAAGCAATAGGTCTTCATTGTATTCATTTGTAGTACTTGGGCTTGTAGGCACGCACAGAACGGGTTTGCAAAGTTGTTCCTGCTGAATTGTTAGAGGTTTTGGAGGGGGAAAGCTTGTGACCTTTAAAAAAATTGTGCCAGAGTTATCTTTGGTTTCATTTAATTCTGAGAATGCTGTACAGAGGCAAATCTTTGCAGCTTACCCAGCACTGTTTTAAAAAGCTACTATGATACGTAGATTTAAGTTGATCACAAAAGCATGTGAGGGAACTGCTTTCAAGGCAGTTAAATCTTTGTGTCTATAAGGTACTGCAAAAAAAGCATTAACAGGTGTGTCTCAGTTAGAATGTGGGTGTTCTTGAGAATTTGACCACTGTCTTATGCCAGTGGGAGCTGCTGAACAGTCATATCTTTGTAAATGAAGTCTGCAGATGGAGATACAACTGTGATTCTATTATCTGATGTGAAAACTATAATCTGTCAAGTGGTGGGAAAGTTGTCTCTCTCCTCATAACTACAGCGTGGCTGGCTAGGTTTTATACGTGGTGCTGCATAGAAGATCAAAGCTTTCCAGATAGAGCTTTATAAATTTAGTGACAAGGCTCAAGAGGGGCTTAAATATTTAAGCTATGAGCATGGCTGTGTTTAATGCTGAAGACATTGTAAACTGTGGGCCTTGTAGTGAAAATATCTCCCTGTGCCGTGAGCATTTTGAGTTTCAGTCAGGTGTTAACATACCTGGATAGTGTGAATTGGCATGTGCCAGCTGAGCCTAGATGAGAAGGTAGCTGGTAGCAGCTGCCTTGGTGCCTTATGGCCATAAGAGGTACAAATTTTATTAGTGTGGTGCTTAAGTGGTGCTATACTTGCTCCCAAACTTCGCTTCGAAAACTGCCTGATGAACTGAAAAGCCCTGCAGAGAAGCCTTTGGTGTACCACTCGCACTGCTTACACCGGTAGAAGCTCTGAAAATGGGGAGAAGATTCCGGTGCCTTCGTCTGAGGACAGTTTGCAGGCAAGCGTCTTCAGTGCAGTGTGAAATTATTCACTGAGAATATTCTAAACTGTGATGCATCTTTCCGTAACTTGCATTTTGCATATATATGATTAAGCAGCATTGGCCAAAAGCCTGGTGACAGCACAGGGCTCTGGAATGTCTCCCTGTTGCCTGGGCAGTTTATTCATGTTAGCTTACTTCCTTGAGCATAATCGCTCCTTTTAAAGTCCTCCTGAACTCAGGAGTGCCGCTGCTATTGAGCAAGCTGAAATTATACACGCTGCAGAGAGAAAGGTGAGTATGTTGCAACTTAACCTCTCTGCCGGAGGAATTGAAAAGATTTTGCCCCAGCCCTAATTTCTACATTAAAGAGATGAAAATTGTCACTACGTGCCACCTTCAATGGGGAAGAAGCGCCTTGATGGAAAACATGTTATTAACTTTGTGATGTCTTTGGCCTGTTGTGCCTAAAGAGCAAGAGCCCTTGGAGGAGGCTTGCTGACAAAGCGGTTGCTTATGCTCCAGATGGGAAGTAGTGATCAAAAGATATTCCCTTTCCCCTCCAAACACAAACCGTGTTTAAGTCATGGTAAGGAACCTGAGTGATGTCACCTAGTTTATCAACGTAGTTGCTCAAACAAAAAGGCAGCACTTCATACTGTCCTTGAGACAGGGCTGCCACTGGAGAGCAGAAGGTTTCAGTGCCTGAGGCTCCTGAGAATGGAGGTAAGATCCTTTACTTTGCAGCCCCACTTCTGTTGTGGCTAAAGAATGCTAAGAAGTTTCTTGTAGTCTAACAAGCTCCATCAGGAACTGGTGTGGCCTGAGTCGGTGGGTCTCCCTGCTGGCTGAGGGACAGATGCTGAGTACAACCAGAGGTACTGACTGCTGGCGGAGCACCCCAGAGCCAGGGTAAATGTCTCATGAGAAATCTGTTGCCGGGGAATGGAGATCGGTGTTATTTCTTCCATGACAGAAGACAAGAAAGGGTGAGGAAAAAGCCACATTTTGTGTTAATAGCAGAAGGCTCGGGATTTTTGTAAGCAGGAAAAATCCTGCCTTAGTACCCCTTTTTTAACTCTTTGATTAAAAAAGGCTGATAAAACTTCTTGGTGCTCAGTTGTCTCTGAAATCTGTGTTTACAAGGAAAAGGCTAAGAACCTTTCTAAGAATGAAGGTGTTTTTCCGGATTTTGCAAGGAATGTCTAAACCTTGGGTGTTACTTTAATAAAAATAATTCCTGATCTTTTTATGGAATATCTAAACTCTGGGCGTTACTTTAATAAAAATAACTTCAAACTCCAAGATTAACAGAGTTGCTAAAAGGAGTTAGTTCTTAATGAGTAAAACAATAAACTGAACTTGGAATTTCTGAACCAAGCCCTAGAAGGCAATTTGTGGCAAAAGCTCTAGGAAAGGGGAAAAAAAAGAAATCTCATTTTTATAAAAAAGCCATATAGCTTCTCTCTCAGTTGTAGCTAGGCACTGCTTTGAAAAGTGATTCTCCCCTTGCAGAGGCTAGGAATGAGATGTTTTAGGAGAACTGGGTTTAATTTGAATCCAGCAGTAAAACAAATTAAGAATCCTAAAAAGGGGCTGCTCAAATTAGGGATTTGCTGAAATTGGAGCCTGAGAAAATACAATTGTACATCTGAAGAAAAACTTAGATCCTGTGCCTGTGAAGTAGCAGTCCTTTTGAGTTTCAGTCAGAATTGCTGAAACTGGTTTTGGACATCTGTGATATATAAAAGATATGCATGGACCTATAGTTTGCTCCTGAGAAAGACTGTGGTTTGGATGAGATTATAGAAACACTTGTCTCTTTTGTAATGGAATAGAAGGAGTATTTTGAAAAGACTCAGCCGGCAGGACGACTGTGTTACTTTCTGAAATATCCTCTGGATCATCCTGAAAACACAGTTTGTAATATGCTCTTGACTGACAGCATAGGGTGTGAAGCATAAATTCCTGAGCAGGGAAGATGTATGTTGGTTGTGCAATGGGAGCCTCCATGTGATGTCGTTATTTATGGTGCTTCTCTCAGATGTCTTTCTGGGACCTGAACAGCTGCTGTGAACTTTGCCCAACACAGAGTACTCGCTATGTTTGAATGACTCTGTTTTGCCGTTGCTCAGGTTGTGATGCACGCTCTGGTGAGCGATAATAATAGAATCAACTTCTGTGACACCGGTTGTAAAAGCAGAGCAGAACTTAGGGAACCCTTTTATTGATCGATGAAAAGCTTGAAAGAATATCATCTTCTGTAGCTTTGGTGTCAGGGAGTGAAAATTCAATACATCCAATTCCTTCTTTTCATACTGTAATATGGAAGGAAGGATGCGTTGACAGAAGAGAAAGACTTGCTTTTTCCCTTCAGAGGGAAGGGTGGAAGGGTAGAGGGCAGTGGCGAAGGCTTTTTCGATCTTACCTCTTTTCTGCATAACCATCTCGTCAAGTGGCAGCAACTGTGTTTCCAGGAGCTTTCCCTTGCTTTGGTAAAAGAGCTGAGGCTTTTTAAACATCATGCATTTTGATACGTGGCAGTGCCATTGCTAATGTAGATGCAAATCTACAGTTAGATAAGGCTTGGAATAATTGATGTTCT